CCATCACTAATTTTTACCCAAATCACCCAACATGAATCGACTAGCTCCAGTTAAAAATCAATTTAATTCTAGATTAGAATCAAGAAGCGAACGGTCATGTCTGGTTCGTAGTTCTAGCTACAAAATAAATATCGATTTGTTGCTAGGGAATTTTTTATAATCACTCAACTAGGTCGTAATTTATATAAATTCATATATATTTAGAATAATTAAAAATTTTATCATACATAAAGTATAATGCATGAATATGCAACAGTTTACACTTTAAATTTTATTTTATAAAATAGAACTAATGTTTCCATTGAAAACGTACGGATATATAAATTGATCGTTTTTCTCCCGTAGAACCTATAATTTCATTTCTCAAATTCTCAATGGGAATCGATCCGGTCCAACTTATATGACTTGGTTCTTTTGGTATTTTGCTTAAATTACATGTGATTTGGTTCTTAAACTAAGCCAAACATGCTCTCTTCTAATCTTTCCAAAACTAAAAAGTAACCTAGCTTGGATATACGTTGAGCTCACTATCTGCAGAAACTCAAATATTGCTATCTGCAGAAACATAAGAATTGCACTTAAATAAGATTATGCACTCCAAAATTTCACCAAAGCAGCTGTGCTCCACAACTATATCCAGCTATTGAAAGGAAAAATAAAACGAATTCAGCCTATTTTGTAAATTAGACATATTTCCATACAGTCTCGAACATCTTGCATCTTGCTTCAAAAACAAAATCTATGCTAATGCTAAAGACACTGATGCTAACCATTGAACAATAAGGCAGAACTTTTATGAGTAAAAATTCATTGAATTCATTCCTTCACGCTACCATCCTCCATTTCCTCATCACTTAAGTCAAGATTAGCAAGCACTTCTTCGATTGGAATAGAACGAAACTCCTCTCCTTTGTTCTGGTAAAGGGAAATATTGAACAACAAGTCAGGGTTTTCCTCCAAGTCTATTTTGAACTGTTCATACTCTGCGTTCATCTTCTCCTCGTGATCTCCACCCTTAGTAGAATTTTCAATCTCCATGTTAAGAGATTTGAGTTTCCATGAACGAGGCTTGTTACGCTTCCTTTGACGCTTCTCTATATAGCTCTTTTTAATTAATATCACCTCTGGGAGAACAAGACCCTTGTACCCATCTAGTTCAATATCATTACTGTTCGCACCATATAGGTCATAACCAAGGGCATAATCACCGGGGCTTAAGAGATGGCCAAGATGTGTCCTCACGTTGAATATAATATCATTCTTTCCAAAATCTGATACACGGGCGATTTGGGCATCAGCTACAACATACTTTGAGCCACTAACAATGACTTCAGAAGAAACAGACTCAATGTCCAACACTACATATTCCACAAGCTGCCTATTTGAAAGTAGAGCCTTAAAAGGTACCCTCCAATACTGCTCGGCATTCAAGAAGCAGTGCCTAAGAGTAAATGGGTCTAATAAAGCAATGCTGTTGGTAACTTTAGTGCAGATCACAAGGGGTCCAAGATTTCCCTGACTTGCAGCAACTTTAGGAGGAAGACATATCAAATCCTCACGACATACTGGACATATCTCTCCAGAGAACGTGTACTTGTAATTGAAATTGTTGCTCTTCGGATCATGGGACACAAGNAGAAAGTGTACTTGTAATTATAATTGTTACTCTTCGGATCATGGGACACAAGTTGCTTGTCGCTTCGTTTCCTAATTGGAGCTACCTCGCCCACAAAGTCCACAAACTTCCCAGCATGACTTCGATTAACAAAAAAGAAATCAATTCCCTGGTCCATCTGCTTAATTCTGATTGCATTGCGAGCTTCATCATGCTTAATAATAAGCTGCTCCAGATAGAAGAAAGTGCGCCTATGAGGAACATGCTGCCGCAGTTGAACTGCAGCCACCCATTGATCAGGGTTAGCCTGAACCCTTGTACAAGACTCGCACATTTGGTCTTGCACAACATATTCGACGGTGTAAGCTTGTTCAAGTACTGCCCCATTCAGAACCTCTTTCTGGACCCTCAGCTTAACTTTAATCCTCTTGGAGTGAGGTTCAGTCCAAATGAATTCTGCATGTACTAAATGGACTTTATTCAAGTTCTTCAACCTCTTTATGCAGAAGGTCAGCAGCTCCTTGGACTCTAGCTGCATTTTACTCCAGGTCCTTGGCGGCTGCAAATAGCTCTCACATTCAGGGCAATGGATAATCACCACATGCTTCTGTAGACCTTCTGTTATGTCAACTTCAGAACGCAAGCACTTGGCGCACATATTTGCAGCATTTGGTTGCTAGTTTTATGGTGTAAACGTCGTATAGACGCTGCCAATAGTCTGGGGCACCGTAAACATACCAGCTTCCTGTGCCATGGCTTCTAAATCTCTGATTGAGGTGCACAAGGAAAAATATAGAAAGGAAAAAATCAACTTAGAGATCGATACAGAAATAATAAAATCCCAAGATAGAACAAGACGACTACATTTTAACACAAACGTGTAAAATCTTGACTGCTGTTATTAAGTGGAAATTTTGTGAAAGCCCATTTTCATTTCAGTGAATTGGATAGAGGCTCAAGGGTGTTCCCCAATAATTGGATCGTGCTTTAAATAGGAAACAAACCGTTGCATCTAATGATCTTTTTTGACATTTAAATGGAAAACTATCATTAATTACTATCAACTAAATCTACAAACAAGCAAGCAAATTACCACGAAAAACCTTATACTCTTTTAGCATGTCATATTTTAACCAAAACAAAATTAATCAAGATCTTCAATCATTTTTTGCCAAAAAAAAAAAATAATAATAATAATAAATGAATATGATCACAGCTTATCTACTAACTTACTTAATCCACAAGAAAATTATTTTCACAGAATTTATCATAAGTAGCAATAAATAAACTCAAAAGCAAGAAAATCAATCGTCTGATTATATCAGCAGCAGCATCTAAATCATCATCATGTAAAGAATATGACTTAAAAACTAATATTACACCTTAACAATAAATTAAGCGTCGACAGAAATAATTGTGTAAAAAGGCCATTTCTTTAACCAATAACCAACCATGATGAAAACCAGACAATAAAAATAAAAAATTACAAAAAGAAATTAATTTTAAAATTGACCATCAAAGAAATCATAGAATCATCTAGTCAATTAAATACATAATCATGCATAAATCACATAGAAATTAGAAAATAGCAAATGAAAATAAGGATACCTGTGGATTTTGGCTATTATCTTACGGAGGCGAAAACCCGGCGGCAGACGGAGAGTAGAAAATAGACGGCTGATGGGCGAGTGATATACCTGACCGTTTGTACGTGCAGATTTTATGCCCTTTTTATTTTGTTAGATTGGACGGCGGTTTAGGTTTTGATATTTATATTTGGGCTAACTCTTCATATGGGCCAATACAGGAATGTATGCTTACCGTTTAAGAATTTAAAAAGGGAAAAATTCATGCATCGAGTATTTACTTTCACGAAATCACAAATCAAGCCCGAATGTTTAAATTTTCATAACTCAGGTTTTTCTACTATTTAATTAATTATATTTAACAACT